AAACTTCTATTATGGAAAAAAACATTTAAAGAACAGTGATCTCTTTTAATGTCTCTGATTTGGCAGGTTTAAGAAAAATAATACATGTTTATAGTCATCTGTTCAAATGTTCGGAGAGTATCAAGATTAAGGATTTATTATGTAGCTTTACATTTGAAAAAAAAGACATGGTTATTAAAATCTGGTTACACACAGACATATTTTAAACTTTCTTCCCCAGAAATAAAATCTCACACGTACCACATAAAAAATACTACAGAAGGCAAAAAGAGTCTTCCAACGTAGAGAAGAAAAGTTTTAACTTGAGACAGCAGCTATAATAAACACTAAAAAATGGTACGTTGAGACTGGATGATACTCATAGGAGCAAAACGAAAAACTAACATATATCCTTACAAGGGATCTACTTTAACTCTGGCACAAGCCACACCACATAAACGGCAACAGCCAACGAGCCCTTCTGGACACAGAAGAATAGCTTGCAAAACATTTCACCTGATCACACAAATTTGATTTTTAATCTTTAGGCAAAAGACCTGGGGAAAAAATTACATATCTCAACAGTGACCTCTGGTGGACAATTCTTAAAATGATGGTCTCAAAATGAAATTCTTAAGACTGAAAACAAATAGGGGGAAAAAAAGCATTTACAAAGCTACTACTCCCAAACCACCATAAAAACCAGGTATGAGATTATGCAGCCAACTGAGACGATTCTTCTTACACTGACTTAAAAGCAGAGTAATCACAAAGATGAGGACTGGGGCAGAGAATCAAAGAGCCTTTGAAATCACTGCCATGTCCGTTCTTCCAAAACACGGCGAACTGGCAAGCCCTTGGGTATGTCATCTGTCTGCTCTGACTTGGCACAACTCATACCTGCCAATCCATTAACCAACTAGTATTCACTGAGGGCCTAGCTGATGCTCACCATGCTTTTGGTACTTTCCTAAGTGTAGGATACAAAACAGCATCAGACAGGGCTCCTACCCTCAGGAAATTATAATGCAATTAATTGTGTAAAGAAATTAGTAAGTGCTGTGGGACCTTAAACACAGAAAACTGACTTTAGGTGGAAGAGTAACAGGCTCAGAAGCTGTCACATCTGTAAGAGCAAAATGAGGCTCTCTGGAGAGGTGAGAGCCAAGCCCAGGAGGGCCGCTGGGTGAAGGTGCACCAATGGTTTCTCCTGACACCAGCTTTCCCCATGTGTGGCCTCTTAGATGTACCCGAGGGCCGCTGTCCCAGCAGCTCGTTCCTCAACCATGGAGGGCTCCCCTAGGACTAGGAACACAATATGGACATCAATTTCCAAGACATAAGGTAATGTGAGTTTTTTTTTTATTTATTTATTTTGAGAGAGAGAGCGCGAGCGAGAGAGAGAACGAGCAGGGGAGGAGCAGAGAGAGACACAGAGAGAGACTCCTAAGCAGGCTCCATGCTGCCAGCGCAGAGCCTGATGCAAGGCTCATTCTCACAAACCGTGAGATCATGACCTGAGCGGAAATCAAGAGTCAGATGCTTAACCGACTGAGCCCCCCAGATGTCCCAGATATAATGCTTCTCTAGAGCACTCATGGTCCAGAAGGTATGACATGAACCCCTGAGTAAGAAACAGAGTGTGTGTGGGGACCACACCTACTCAAGTCCCCATACGGCTTAGTCCTGGCACTGTCCAGACTGCTTCACCTCAGGCCAGCGGTTTCCACTCAGGACCTCCCTGTCCACCATCACTGCTTCATAGAGGCATTACTGGGAAGCCACTATGCTCTCGGCGACAGGTGTTAAAGAAAAATAAGAAATAAGAAATGGATGGTCCCCACTTTCGAGAAGACTTCCAATCTACCTGGAGAGAGGAAATAAATACCTGGCAGAGAAGGACGGAGAAGGGCCTGTGAACAACAGTAGTTTGGGGAAGAAAGAGTTCTCATTGCCCAGGGCAGACAGGGGAACCTGGAGCAGAGGATGAGGAGGCAAGGCCGAGCAGAGTGGAAGAGAGGAGGCGCAGGTGCCGAGGCAGGGGCGGCCTGGAGAGAGACGACCCAACTGTCTGCAGCACCGGAGGAAGACACGCTTGCCGTGGGAGGTGGGGCCAGATCACGGCAGGTTCTGAAAACCAGGTGATCCACACCTTCCCCCAGACGTGTGGGCTATCACAGCGCAAATGCTGTTCCAGAAGGGTCAGCCTGGTGCGGGAACCCCATCTTCACTCGGAAACCAGTCTCACGGGGCCACAAAGACCCTGTGCTGGGCTTCCGGTGAGCTCCTGCCCCATCAGAGCACAAGGGAAGAGGAGAAGAGTCACTCATGGCTCTGCCTTCCGTGTGACTGCGCCAGGGAGACGCTCGCATCTACTAGGAAAGTTGTTCCGGGCAGGGCGAGCCCCACTCTACCAAAACCACACAGCCCCGATCCCTCGCTTAAATTTAAATAGCGCTGCTGTAACCATGATGAGCCTCTAATAGTGGCTGGCTTGACAATCTGTAAATGTTTTTTATGAACTCAAACAGAGAACACTACAGAATCCTGGGGGGGACGAAAGGGTCATCTGACCACTCCCGGCTTCCCGCAGCCTCACTCGGACCACACCAATGGGATCCGTCAAAATCAAAACCACCAGCAGGGAAAGGAAGTCCACTTGGTGCCACACGGTCCCGGATGGCTCTGCAGACACTGACTCCAGCGTGCGGAATCACATGATGTCCCCAGATCGAGGTTCCGGTTTGTGCAAGCCAGTCACTCCTTCTGTAAGTGCACAGGTGGAAATGCCACACAACAGTGTAGCTGGGAGACTCAGAGAAAACCACAACTACTTTTGCAAAGTAAAAGCGGGGCTGAGGGGTTTATCTTTTGCATCCCACTGGCTTTAATGCAGCAATGTCAGCCAGGTCCTATTAAAAACCACAGAAAGTGAAAGACACTGATTACAATACAAAGTGACAGGAGGGTGTGCTCACACTTAGACTTAATGCATATTTATATTTCCATCAAATGGACATATTTACTATAAATACTTGAAAAACCATAGCGAGTCATTCATTTAAATGCCAGAAAAACAGTAAAAGATGCTAATTTGACCTTAGTGGAACAGATCGAGTGTCACTGACACTACACACAACGGCTTGAAACAATTTACCAAGACGACTAATTAGAGTTTACTGGATTAGGTCAAGAGTGTCTCATATGGAGAAAAGGAAAAAACAAAACACAAAAAAACAGGGAAGGAAGAGATCTGAAGTTTGAATCCATTCACAGTCAGTTTTTTTAAAAGATACAATTTAACTCCGTTTTTACGCCTCTCTAAATTCATCTTGTCTTATATGCCTGGAGAAAGAAACAGATCCACCGATCCAAGGTTTCTGTCTTTGTGGACGTGTAAAAAGAAATGAACTACAACTTAAAAAAATCTGAAAACACCTGAAAGGTTTCTTTCTTTTTCTTTGTTTAAGAACAGATCAATTAACGACATAATAGGAACAAAGCGTTTAAATGTAAACTCTTTAGTCGCTCTACTGATGCACATCCAAGCACGGGAACCTTGGCAATTAACAATCTTTATGAAATGAGCAACAGCTTCAAGAACTTGTCGCAAAATCTTGGGGAATTTGGGGATTACACAGTCCATCCTTCAGGACAAACTGTAATACCCTCTCAACTAGGATTAGGGTCTCCATGGACAGCAAGACCACTGGCTTTGAAACCCATGAAACTAGCCGCATAACAGCCGTTACAAAAATGACCACATGTGGGGGTGCCTGGGGGGGGGTCAGTCAATTAAGCACCCGACTCTTGATTTCGGCTCAGGTCACGATCTCACGGTCTTTAGGATTGAGCCCCACTCCATACTGACAGTGTGGAGCCTGCTTTGGATTCTCTCTCTCCCTCTCCCCTACTGATGCTCACTCTCTCTCTCTCTCTCTCTCAAAAATAAACAAAGTTTAAAAAAAAGATCACATGTGACTTGAAGCGCTCCCTTTCAGCTTCAGTGACCACCAATATGCAAACGTGACAATCGTGTCATTCTGCCTTGGCCTTACAAGTGTGCAATTTTTGCTGAAAATGAACTAATCTGCCTGTTTCCTGCACATGAGAGGCCTTAACTGCCCTCCTAATTCTCAATAACCAACAGCTCTCTGACACTGTCTCGAGCAGTATATAACGCGTACGCGCGCGCAGGCACACACAAATTCATGATACCAATCCTTCAACGTGACACCCAGCGCCATTTCCTGGGACTCTGAAAGCCCCCTAACAAATTCTCACCACATTATTAGAAAATCATTCAGGTCTGCAGGAAATACGTTAAGCACAAGGAAGTGACAGTCAATTAGGAAGGGAAAAGGAGAGTGAGTCCCTGTCATTAAAATCTTTAAAGTCACAGCTCTAAGAATCAAATGGCCCATTACCACTCACACGAGGTATTTTCATAAAAACAGCTATCAATTCTCCTCTAGGTTAACCATGCCCTGACGCCACCCATGCTCCCGGAGAATTCCTCTTGGGAACCAGACTCGAGATGTGAAAAATACAGATGCAAGCTGATATAGCTTCTACGGTTTTGTGGGTTTCCCCCCTACTGATCAGAGAAGAAAAGTATCCCAATAGTTAATTATTCCCCTTTTGAGGAAGAAGTACAGAGAAAACCAGTAACTCTTACTCTATTATTTTGTAGTACTTTTTTTTTCCCCATGAAATACTAACGAAATCTCCCGGCTGCTCAGGTAGCTGAAGCACTTACCACCCCCGAATGGGACCATTTCCAGAGAAGAAGTGTCATTTTCTGTCTTCAGTTTACACACGTTAGGAAAGAATCCTCAAAAAAGTACAAAATACAGGACAATACGCTCATGTATCATAGCGTCACCAAAAGTGATTTCAGGTTTCCCCAAATATCATCTGTCATGAGGGTCTTCAAAGGAAACAAAAGAACTCACAGTATCACAGTATGACCTCGAAGTCAGAGAGTAGAGAGTATCTAACAGATGACGAAGTTAACTCACTTGTTAGCTTGTTGTGGCTGAGGACCAGTTGGGTGATGTGGGATAAGGAGACTGTAAGAGAAAAAAACAAAATTGCAGTCAGTGAATGTACCTGAATTATCCCCACACTCCTACAAGGTAAAGCATTAAATTATTTTCACAGGTGGAAATGCTACCACTCACAAAAATGGAAGCAAGGTTTCATGTAATACTGTTAAATCTTAAGTCAAATTAAGAAAAGTTAGACAGTTATCACGGCAATTAGCACAGCAAGTTAGACCTAATGAGATTAATGTCACAGAATCAAACATTACAAGCGCCATTTAGCTTTGCTCTGCGACCTGGTCTGCTGGCCTGGCCTGAGGGGTCCATCTCCATCACATGTGCCATCAAAAGAAGGGTCCCCAGAGGGGCCCCCAGAGGCCACAAGGCCTCACCTATACTCAAACAAACATCAGGAGCGCCTAGGGGGCTCATTCGGTTAAGTGTCCGACTCCTGATTTCAGCTCAGGTCATGATCTCACGGTTCGGGAGATTGGGCCCCTCATCAGGCTCTGTACTGACAGCACGGAGCCTGCTTGGGACTCTCTCTCTCTCTGCTCCTACCCTACTCATGCTCTCTTCTCTTTCTCTCTCGAAATAAATAAACTAACTTAAAAAGTATTTTCAAAAAATCGTATGAAGACAAAAGATCATGTGGCACATTACTTCATCTACGTCCACTAGCAACCCAGAAATTCTTCTACGCACTATCAAGTGGCTAATATATTTAAAAGAGAAAAAATTCATCTAAAATTGTTGATGTTTCCAATCCCTTGCACATTGCTCATCAGTTTCAAACAGTATTGAGAAGGTTTAAACTAAACAAGAACAAGAGTTGCTTAAAAGAAGGTTGGTTGTTTTTTCCAACTATAAAGAAAATACACACAGATCCATCAAAAGAAAAAAAAGTCTGAGAAGAAAAGTGACCTGCCTTCCATTTTGGGTTCTGAAGCCCCCCAGGATGGCCAGCGTATGTTTTAAAGACATATTACATATATTAAGCAAACAGATTTACACATCTTTCCAATACTCTTGCTCTAAGAACATTATTATATTAATGCAGAGTTTCCTAAGACAAAAATTTTTCTCAAGAAAAGTCTTAATGTTGGGCCCCAGCATGCTAGCAAAATGACTAGTTCACTTCTGACCATAATTTTTGAGTTTTTTTTAACCCTCACAAAGTTATAGGACATTCAAAATGCAGTACAGAGACTTGTTTTCCTGCCCTGAACCATCAGAGATAACACTGCTGGCCCGAGCCCCACACACTCCGAGTATTCGCACGGCAACATCCTCCTACGGACCGGGGCACAGCCACTCAAGCCAAGGACTTTCTGTCACCCGTCAGAACCGCCCAATCATCGGTCCTCGGCCATCTCACCAAATGTCCCGACCACCTCTTCCAGAGAAAGCAATCCGGCTCAGAATCCCACTGCACGCAGCTACCGGCCCATTAGCTTTTCTCTTTCCTGTCACCTGCATTTCTCTTTCCTGGACTTTCAGAGCTTGGCAACTGTGAAGCCCGCAGGCCCAGTTATTCTGTGTTCTGTCCTCCGGTTGTTCTCAGCTAGATTTAGGTCAGGCGTCTTCAGCAGGAACATCGGAGGGATGCTGTGCTCTTCTGACCGCACCCGTCAGGTGGCACATGCTCCCTCCTGTCACTGATGGTCTTCCCTCGATCCCTTCTGTCTGCCAGGTTCTCCACTGAAAATGTATTCTCGTCCCCTTTGTAATTAATGAACGTGTGAGGAGAAGGGAGTTGAGGATGGGAGGGTACTTCCTGTAAATATACTTCCTGTAACTATCTGGTTGCACATGTTTAATGATCCCCAACCCGGACAATCCTTACCTTCACGGTACGTCTGGCAATGTCTGGAACGTTTTTGATTCCAACAACCGTGGCCACCAAGAGCCTAAATGTTCCTATGTGGCTCTCACTGCATCTGTATGAAGGCAGCACTGGTCTAGAGCAGAGGCGTCTCGAGGCTTGGGGCCAGGGACGCTCCTAAGCATCATACAATGCACAAGGGAACGTCCAGGGTCACAGCCAGTGTGGGTGCTTCTGCAAGAACAGCTGGGCAGAGCAGGGTTTTAACTACTCAGGATCCTAGTGTTGCTGCTGAGAAACTGCAATCTACTTTATTTTCGTAGGGCTCTGTGCTTTCCTATATCAGTCAGTGGATTATCACCTATTGTGATCATTCACGCCCATGTCCACACTATCGATGTGGCCAGAGGGAGGCCTTGCGGGCTGGCTGCCGTCCCCCTGACAGTCCCCACTGCTCCCTGAGCACCGCCCTGCTGCCTGGCACAAGCTTCCAGGCTCATCGTGTCCTTTTCCTGCCACAGCCCTGAGATCCCCATTTCTCTAATGAGCTCTGGTTCCTTTCTGTGGGAAATGGTATTTATAAGACACAATCTGAGCACCAGATGTGCTCACTGCTATTTGGGGCTCAGTATTCTCAGCTCCTCTCAGTGGACAGAGCTAGAGAACACACGAACACACACACACACACACACACACACACACACACACACACACAATACACTGATTTCACAATACTACTGAAAACCCGGAGTTCACAACAATCCATGCAATTCCAATACAACAGCATTCGGTTCGCTCCAGTTTTTTCCCTTTCCATACTCGTAATTCCCTTCTCTAAGCATGAGCACTCTGGCTCCCATTATCTCTAACCTACTTACCACGTAATCAATAAGCCTATATATAACTGCATGAAATGCAGTTCTCTTACAGCTGGGCCAGGATGGCTCTGTGCTCATTTGTAGGGGCACCCGGAAGTCTGGTTCTGGTTCTCGGTCAAGATCAGGATGAAAAGGCTAGCTAGGGATGTGCAACGTTCAGCTTCAACTTGAAACCCCCAGGGCCAGCTTGTTAGCACTGCTGAGGGAGGTGCAGGTGGACGGCTTATGCCTGGCTACGAGGTACATGGCCAGCTGGATGAAAGAGACATTGCTGGACATTTCCACCCAGGTTCTCCTTAAACACCGATTCCTCACACGCATCTTGATGGTTCATAAATCTGGCGGGCAATGTCCTGAGCAACTCAGATACGACTCTGGGGAGCAAACCCAGTTAAGCCTCTGAGGCCCCCGATGGCCGCCAACGCTTTCTTACGGGTGGTAAACCACTGTCCTGTGCCTTTACTAACTTCTCAGCTGAGCAGCCTCTGTGGAACTGGTGTCGTTTCAACTGTCCAGCTCAAGAACCAATGCAGTAACCAATCTCCCCTACGCCCCTCCCTCCTGCCGGACACCTCTGCCCCCTGCTCACTTGCCCCTGCACACAGACACTGTCGTTATCCTGCTTGGGGTGGAACCTCACAGGCCAGGTTCCTCCACCCGCACAGATGCTCACCCCACCCCACTCAGGCTCCCACATCCCATTTTAGGCCACCAGGCCCACCGACCCCAACCACCTCTCCTTTCCTGTCCCGCTTACTGGCTTCTGGAATGAACCACTGGGAAGGGGGAAGAAAAAGGAAATGGGGAAGGCGAAGAGCATTTTCATGGTTTTCCAAAAGAGTCACAATGGTGGCTTCCCACAGGACGTTTAGGTTTTAAACAGTGCAGAACACCCCGCACGTTTTACGAGTTGAGATTCCTTGTCCACCAGTGAAGCATTCCTGGATCTCTGAGGTATATAGTCTGATATGGCGGAAAGAAAGACTCTCCAACAGCTATGCTCATACCAAACCAGATGGAAAAAACTGACACATGCACAAGATTACGGTCCCCTTCACGTGACAGCAGGCCACAAATAACAAAGAGTACACATGACGGGAGTTTGTCTCTCGCTCACACAGAGGCAATCCTGTGTGTGTTGTACAAGAAAATGTGAGGGACCTTGCTCAACTGTCCCCAACACTCGGCTCCCACCTCACGGTTCGAGATGGCTGCCTGAGCTAAGTCCTCCAGTCAGCATCCCTTTCAGGAAGACAGAAGAAAGAAGGCGTCCTCCTTCTGGATACTTCTCAGAAGCTGCACATGGTACTTCCACTTGCAAGCAGTTAATTACAATTTTGTAATAAGGTGAGGCCTCGCTGCAAGGGAGGCAGGGAAACGTAGCCTATGTTCCGGGTGACCGTGTGGTAGCTAACAATTAAGGGTTTTCTTACCAGCAGGCAACAAGCAGCCTCACACACTAGCAGACCATCTCATCTGAGCGTCACAGAAATCAATCCTGACTACAAAAGAAAATGAACAATCTCCCATCTCTTTCTGCCTTAATTTTTCCTAAAATATCATTACTAATTAAGAAAAAACTTTTTTGGCTCTTTCTCCCAGACACCATTCACAACGAGAGCCTTAATTCGGGAAAGCGGATTCTTTTCAATCATTTCCTCGCGTCCCTTCAACAAGCATGTGGCAGGAGACAAAGTGACAAAGTTTAAAAGTTCTCTTTTCTGGTTTCGTAAAGAGAGAAATGCAGTTGTGGCTTCATCTGATAACACCGCAAGGACGCAGTTTTCTTCCTCACTACTGTCACAGAGCCACACGTTAAAGTAGGTGAGGGGGGTTGAAATTAGAGCAGGAAAGAGGAAGTTAATAAAAGGTCTTTGAGAAAATATTTAGGGCAACAAAGGACTCCAGGCTGGGTCTGCGGGGAGGGCAGTTAAGTCGGACAGAATGAGAATCACAGAGTCAATCACAAAGCCCGGAACAGGCAAAGACAGGGCTGCGACAAACAAATGTATTTATCCAGCCCGCCACTCCCCTCCACCTGGCGATGGTGGGTTCATTGTGAGTCTTGTGTAGAAACTGTGCCGTTAAAAAAGAAGGGAGAAAGGGTCTACCAAAATAGAATGGATTCTTTAAAAGCACAAAGGCCGCCACGGTCATACACGGTGGGAAAATGGAAGCGGGCCGTACCCAATGACCTGCCTTTCGAACCTCAATCACACACTGTATCTTCCACCCACCGTGTGGCCCTGTGAGCCCCAAACCTCCAAGAACGAGCAGCACCCGAACAGGGCAAACAAACTGTTATCAAAATCCTCAAGCAGTAA